AAAATATGAATATAAACATGAATAAATAAAAATATATATATAAATATATAAATTGATATAAATATATAAAATAAATAAATATAAATCTATTATAAATAAATTATAAATTATTAAATTAAATATTTTACCTTAATAAAATATTTAACTTAAATACTTCAAAAAATGTCCCAATATTTTTGTTGACACAATTTAAATAACTGGGTTCTTAATTTTGGTAATTGTTTAGGATTGTTTAGAACTTAATCTTGAAATGAAAGAAGACATAACAATGCAGCGAAATTAGAAAAATGTGTATTATTAGGCCATGATTGAGCGTTCAGTGTCATGCTGTTGTCCAGGTCTGGAGTGTCTTCAGATGCCACCAACTCCTCCCAGCTCAGTGGGAAGTGATTCGGAGGGCAGTCAGAGTCCCGTTCACCCCTGCGCTCCTGCCAGTCCCACACAGACCCCCGCTGTCCTCAAGGTGGCGCCGCGAGCCCCTTCATCTCTGTCCAGCTCTCCCCTGCTGACCGCTCCACATGTAAGTACACACCAAACGTACTGTTCACACTTTCAGCTTTATGCAGTGCAGGATCAAAAGAAGTGTTTGTACGGTGTGATCTTCAAAGAGTTAAAGTCAGTATTATTAGCCCCCCTTTGAATGTTTTTCTTTTTAAAATATTTTCCAAATAATGTTTAACAGAGCAAGAAAATTTTCACAGTAAGTCTGATAATATTTTTTTTTTCTAGAGAAAGTCTTATTTGTTTTATTTCGACTTGAATAAAAGCAGTTTCAAAATTTTTAAACACCATTTTAAGGTCAAAATTATTAGCCCCTTAAGGCTAATTTTTTTTCCGATAGTCTACAAATAAACAGGGTTGCTAATATTTATACTTATATTTTTATATTTTATATATATATATATATATATATATATATATATATATATATACATATTATCGTTATTATTTATTTACTTTGATCTTGTTAACGCGAACAATCCCTTTTTTTATTTTATTTCTATTTAATATTTTCTGGGTGGTTTTTTTCTTCCATTTTTCTATGCTATTTAAAAAAAATATATGTTTAAAAATTAAATTAAAAATTCATCTGTTTTGACAGAAACTGCAGGGCTCTGGTCCCCTTTTATTGACCGAGGAGGAGAAAAGGACCCTCATTGCTGAAGGATACCCCGTGCCCACCAAACTGCCCCTGTCCAAGGCTGAGGAGAAAGCACTGAAGAAGATCCGCAGAAAGATCAAGAACAAGGTGAGTGTCATGTTTCAGCACATTCATTAATATGGTATTACTGTAAGATGATGATGCATATTTTTAAGAGAAGTATTACAGCTAATGTCTATATTCAACATTTATTTCTCCATCAGATTTCAGCACAGGAGAGTCGCAGGAAAAAGAAAGAGTATGTGGATGCCTTAGAGAAGAAGTAAGTCTGAGCGATGGTTTGGTTTGTGATAGGGTTATAAATGTTATGTTTATTAAGTACATGTGAATGGTCAGATTTTCTGGTGCATTTCAAATTATTTATTACTTTATTTTCTATTTAACAATGCAAAATTAAAACAGGCCTGTTTTATACAGTATATGGCATTATATACATTAAATTTAATTAAACCTATTTTGCGAGTGAAATATTATCTCAATAATTCAGAAGTCATATGAAATTTGGTAAAAAATATATATTTTAAATATACTCATGAGCTTAAAATATTTTTATTTTTATTTTAAACTTCATAAATAAGGCACATCTCGAAAGGAAAATGTGTTGCAAATCCAGTTTCATGCTAAAGAAATGCACTAGTTCTACAACATTTAGAGCTGGTGACATTGCAGTGCTCTCTTTATCCACAGGGTGGAGACGTGCTCTAACGAGAACCACGAGTTACGCAGGAAAGTGGAAAACCTGGAGTGCACTAACAAGTGAGACCCTCAAACTGCACTAATGAGCAAATCTTGTGATCTGACACTTTTGTTTGCTTTTTTGGTTGATGATGATGATTTATGCATTATGATGTGTACTGATGGTGTGTGTCTTTCTCTGTCTCTCCGTGTGTGAGTCAGGTCTCTGCTGCAGCAGCTGCACTCTCTGCAGGCGGTGGTGGCAGGAAAGGTCCCGCGGTCCTGCAGGGTGACGGGCACCCAGACCTCCACGTGCCTCATGGTGAGCCATCCCGCTCTGTCTCTGTGTGAACACTCCGCTCATGCACGTGTGCGTGTGTGTGTACAGGATTAGCTATAGTTGTGAGAGCTTAATTGTTCTTACTTACATTGTGAGATGTCAAAATGAGCCACAAGTGAGGGTATTTCATTCCACCTCACCTGCAGCAACCCATCCCACTTGTGGCATAAGTCCCTCCCACTTGCAGGTCTCCGGGCTGCAGCGATACCTACTTGGGTGTCCTGCACAGTTTCAAGTAGGTATCGCTGCAGCCTGGAGACCTGCAAGTGGAAGGGATTTTACTGCAAGTAGGCTGGGTGACCTCCAAGTGACCTCCAGGATCAAGTTTGCCCATCCCTGCTATAGACAGTATCATTGACCTGATATAAAAACAATGGAATTCTATGTAATGTCCTCATTAAAATGAGGTGTGTGTGTGTGTACTGGTTTTGGTAGTTTACAAGGACAGAAATGTATATAATGACATGGGTATAACCCTGTTGTACTCTATAGGGGGTTAATGTATCCGTATAATTCACAATGCTTAAAAATCATATTTAACATGGTTTTTGGTTGAGTTTAGGGCTAATGGTGGGTATGGCCATATAATACATTTTTTTTTACAGTATAAAATACATCACATCTATGGAAAGTCCTCGTAAACCACCTAACTCAATGTCTGTGTGTGTGAGTGAGGAAGAAGCAGTGCTGTGTTTACACTGAGGATGGTCTGTCATTGTGCAGGTGGTGGTTCTGTGTTTTTCGCTCTTCTTGGGGAGCTTCTATCCAGGCCTGAGCCCATGCTCCTCCATCACCAAAGCAGATCTGAGCAGAGAGATCTCCATACACGACTCCTACACCACCACAGGTAAGAGCACCTTAAAGAGACAGTTCATCCAAAAATAAAAATGGACTCTTCCTCTAGTGGTTCTCAAACCTTAATGAGATTGTTGTTCCTGTTGAACACGAAAGACGATAGTTTTAACAGTGCTGAAAACCGGTAGCCTTTAGCTCCCATAGTAGGAAAAAAATGCTATGGAAGTCAGTGGATGCTGGTTTCCAACATTCTTCAAACAAGTTTGGAACAATTGATTTAGAAACTTAAACAGGTTTGGAACAAGTGAAGGATGAGAAAATTTCCCTTACCTGTTATAAAATGACTGTAAATCACGGCTTCACAGGGATTATTGGTTTTATAAAATGATTTTTCATTATATGTATTAAAGTTTGACAAAATAAAGCAAAGCCAATAAAACAGAATTGTTTTTATTTTCCAGATTTAGCCTAAAATCCCCTTAGCTGTATTAAAATCGCTGTAAACCACAGCTTCACCTGATTTATTGCTTTTAATAAATGGTTATTTTCTGTACATAATAATGCTTCACAAAATAAAACAAAGTGAGTAAAATAGAGTCATTTTCATATACATTTTTAGCCTAAAGTCCCCTTAACAGTTATAAAATCACTATAAAACACAGATTCACGTCATTTTTTGCTATTTTAAAACAGTTATTTTATGTATGTAGTAAAGCTTCACAGAATTAAAAATGAATTAAAAATTTTAATTTACTTATTTAGCCTAAAATCCCATAAAATCACTGTAGACTTTATATAACTTTTTGCTTTTATAAAATGGTTATTTTATGTACATAGTAAAGCTTCACAAAATACAACAGAATCATTTTCATGTACAGATTTAGCCTAAAACCCCTTTAGCTGTATTAAAATCGCTGTAAACCACAGCTTCACATGATTTATTGCTTTTATAAAATGGTTATTATATGTACATATTAAAGTTTCACAAAATAAAACAAAGTGAATGGAACAGAATCATTTGCATTTACAGGTTTAGCCTAAAAATCCCCTCAGCTGTTATAAAGTCACTGTAGACCACAGCTTTATATAACTTGTTGCTTTTATAAAATGGTTATTTTATGTACATAGTAAGGCTTCACATAATAAACCAGAATCATCTTCATGTACAGTTTTAGCCTGAAATCCCCTAAGCCAGGGGTGTCAAAGTCAATTCCTTGAGGGCCGGAGCCCTGCAGATTTTAGTTTTCAGCCCTGCTTCAACACACCTATCTGTAGGTATCAAACAAGCCTAAAGGACTCAAATAGTTTGATCAGGTGTGTTTAATTAGGGTTAGAACTAAACTCTGCAAAGCTGCAGCCCTCCAGAATCTGGCTTTGACACATATGCCCTAAGCTGTTATAAAATCGCTGTAAACCACAGCTTCACATGATTTATTGCTTTTATTTATTGCTATTATAAAACGGATATTTTACTGTATGTACATAGTAAAGCTTCACAAAATATAACAGAATCATCTTCATTTACAGTTTTAGCCTAAAATCCCCTAAGCTGTGATAAAATCGCTGTAAACCACAGCTTCACATGATTTATTGCTTTTATAAAACGGTTATTTTATGTACATAGTAAAGCTTCACAATATAAAACAAAGTAAGTAAAACGGAATCATCTTCATGTACCGGTTTAGCCTAAAATCCCCTTAGCGGTTATAAAATCACTGTAAACCACAGCTTCACATGGTTTATTGCTTTTATTTCTTTCTTTTCTAAAACAGTTTCACAAAATAAACCAAAGCAAATTAAGCAGAATCATTTTCATATACATTTTTAGCCTAAACTCCACGTAGCAGTTATAAAATCGCTATAAACCACGGCTTCCCAGGGTTTATTTAATGCTTTTATAAAAGGATTATTCAGTATATGTAGTAAAGTTTCACAAAATAAAACAAAGTGAGTAAAGCAAGTTCTATAGCTCGCTACTGATAGAGGAGTGATTGCCAAAGATCAGTTACAGACATATATTAATAAACTATTTTACTACAACTACATGGCTCAACCAATCAGAATTAAGAACTGGAGTTATACATTTTGTGAACATACAGTTGACTAAACATGAACAAACCACAATAGCCCCTTTCACACAGTGATACCGGTAAATATCCGGAAAATTTCCGGAACTACTTTACCGGTAAATTCAAAAAAGCGCTGTTCACACAGTCGAGGACGTTACGGAATTTTTCCGGAAAAGAGCATTCACACATCCATCGCAAAATGCCGGTAAATTCTGACATCATTAACCAGAAATGACCTCTAAACAGCTGCGCTTGTGTTTGTAAACATTTGACTACATTACAAACTCTTCCGATGGATCAGTATTGAGTACAACTCTAATGAAAACATAGAAAAATCGCATGTCGAGATGTACATGATATGTGTGTGTGCTGGCGCTATGGGCGCTCACGGGCACACGCAAAGCTTGAAGGTAAACAAACAACGGATTATCATAAACATTTTATCGATAATTATTTACACAGCATTAAGAAGGAACATAGAAACATTATCTGACTAACATCTAGCAGCTAAAGGTGTCTGGAAAAAATATTCAAAGGCTTTTATTCTCATAAACCGCGCGCACGTGAATGCGTCTGACTGTTCTGATTGGCTAAAGCAGGTGTTTCACGTCAGCCCGTTCTAGATGTGGACGCGCTTATTACGCAGTCTTCTTTCTGCATTCACACAGCGCAGCATTCCGGCAAATTACCGGTAATGTTACAACTTCTCTTTCCGTAAAATAGCCAGAACGAATTTACCGGTATTTTCAAAAAGGGCCTGTTCACACATACAACCTTTCCGGAAAATTGCCGGTAATTTTCCGGAAAGGTCTGTATGTGTGAAAGGGGCTATAGTGTGAGAATTCAGTTTTGAGGCTCAGATTCATCACAGTTTGTCCTTTATCAAATCTATTCAAACAGCAAACAGTGTCTAATTTGCATAATCAACAGTATATCGACATCTGTTTGTGTTTGTTTGGGTCAAGGTTTAATATTAACTCATCATCAGTAGTCTGAGCCTCTTTAATTTGTTGCCTGAAGTATCGATGACATTTTAATACCAAGGTACAAGAGTGCCATTATTTTAATATCGATCGAGCACCAACACACACGCGCGCGACTGCAGTCTCCGGTGATTTGCTCATTATCCTGTGTGTGTGTGTGTGTGTGTGTGTGTGTGTGTGTGTGTGTGTGTGTGTGTGTGTGTGTGTGTGTGTGTGTGTGTGTGTGTGTGTGTGTGTGTGTGTGTGTGTGTGTAATGGCTGCAGAAATGGCTGTGTTTGACTCGTGATTATCAGGCCTTTAAAAGCAGAGCGACGGCTGATCTCTGATCTGCTCCCACACGTCACTCCGCTAATGCAGCACTCCAGCTAAATGTCATTGTCTAAAGACGTGTTTGATAGTGCATTAATAAAAGAGCTGCTCTCCTGTGATTTCGAGCAGTACTGCAGCACCTGATATTAATATCCAGATCAGATCGCTAACGCTCAGCTGACATGATTTGGCTTTTGCGTCTGGTGTTACTGGTTTGAATGCAACTCCTGTAAAGTGTCTTAAGAGTGTAATGTACAGATATTGAAATTGTATTAGTATATTATTTAAAATGAAATGAATATCATACCTACTACAATGAAAACACAGTATTTGGATGATTTAATCAATCTGATTAGTGACTGAAATGCCATCTTAAATTACATTGTGGGTATTTGGACAATAAATCATAATCGGTTAACTGTATTGATCGATTTATGAGTGTTTTATATGTCAAAAACAATAGAGGAACAAGATAGAAAATTAAAGTGTCCTGAACAGAAATAAACCTGAACAGATATTGAATTTATATCAATATTATATTCAAAATGTTTCAAATATATACTTAAATAATTATATACAAATGAATAGATGTATTTTTTAATTTAAAATGGTTTGTATATATAATTTTAGATTGTTTATTTTGAATATGAATAAATACATAAAGTTGTTATCTTTAATATTTAATAATGACATTAGTAAAATATAAAAAGATTACATATTTATTAGAAATTTTTTGTAAGTGTAGGTTTAAGTTTAAGTTAGGTTTAGCAACTTTTTATTAATCCTGCCATCCTGCCAGGGGCAATTAAATTAGGGCAGTAGCATCATGACACAACAAACACATACAAACATAAATTACTCAAAAACAATATTAATAAACAATCCAGCATGTTTCATAATAACTTCAGAAATATTGTAATGCTACTTAATATATAGTGTATTATAATAATCATATTAATGTATATGTGTGTTTATGTATATACGGGTAAAGATAAATAAATGGAACACTTTAACAACACAATGTAACTCCAAGTGTTCCCTTAATTTTTCAGCAGTGTTTGTTTATTTATTTATTTTCATATTTATTTTTTTTTCATTTATTTATTTTTTATTATAATTTTTTATGTTTTACATATTTATTTATTTATTTTTATAGATTTATTGTTTTATTTATTTATCTATTATTTTTATATTTTATTTTATACTTATTTTTATATTTTCTTTATTATTATTTATTAATTTATTTATGTTTATATTTTATTTATTTATTTATTTATTATTTATTTTTTAATTGTATTTATTAGTTTTAGATTTTTTCATTAGGTTTTTTTATAATTTTTAATTTTTCCTATTTATTTTATATATATATATATATATATATATATATATATATATATATATATATATATATATATATATATATATATATATATATA